GCGCCAGGGCGGGGGGGGCCACCGCAGATCCAGGAAGTCCGGGCGGACCTCCGACAGTTTATGATGGTGCAACTTCTTCTTCTCCCAGATCACGTACTTCCCTGTCAACACCTCCTTCTGGACCGACACGCCCCCATAGACCCGCGTGGTCGGGTACACCGTGACGGCCTTGGGGTCGATCCTGATCCCGGAGAGGGTCGTGTCGGGCACCTCGAGGAACACCTCTGGGGAAACAGAAACGCACCGATACCCCGACTCCCCGGACCTCTCCCAGGGTGCGTTCCGACCAGAATTTCGATGAATGGCGACGACGGCGACGAGGGCTCTCCAGGACGAGTACCGGTATGGGCCTCTCTCGGGGAGACGTAAGACTCGGAGTTCGAGGGACTCGGCTTGGCCTGACGGGGGCCGTCAGGGAGAGGACGAGACCCAGTCTGAAATTTGACGCGACCTCCCGCTGCAAACATACTACGAAAGATGGACGAGGGAGCAGGAGGAGGAGGAGGAGGAGGAGGAGGAGGAGGAGGAGGAGGAGGAGGAGGAGGAGGAGGAGGATGGGCCCGTCAAACAGCGCCGGCAAACCCGAGTTCCAACGAACTCGAGGCTGACGCCTCCCACGACTGTGCCTCCCCTCACGACCTCGGCGTAGCAGTTGACGCCAGACAGGAACGGGTCCTGCACGAAGCCGCCCGAGGGCTGCGGGGCGGAACTCGCCTTGCTGCTTCGCTCCTGCGCGTAGCTTCACCGATCCCTACTCCAGATTTCGTAATAAAAGGGAGGGTGTCTGGACCCTCCAAGACAAGCCATTTCAGACCTCCCCCGTGGGAGAACCCTCCAAAACATCGTCCCCAGACCCCGCAGGCCCTCCAAGATAGCCTGGAAGAGACCCCCCCCGAAATGAGACCCCCCCCTCCCTTTACTACGAAATCTGGAGTACCCCCACGGCCGTGCCCTGGGCCCCACTGGCCGATCCCCCCCCCTAGATGGAGATGTAGGCTGCTCCCGTCGAGACTCGAGGACCCCATCCCCCACTGGGGTGGTAGCATGGTGGGGATCGGGATGGGGATCGAGATGGGGATAGAAATAGGGATAGGTAAAAAACAAAATAGGGATTGGGATAGAAATAGGGATAGAAATCGGGATAGGGGATATACATAGACATAGGGATAGAAATAGGGATAGGGATAAAACTAGGGATAGAGATGTGGGCAGACATGGGGGATAGGTAGAAGACAAGAACACGGCACAGGCATGGAACTTCGGGCGATCCGCCAGGACTTCTGGGATCTGCGCCAGGCCCCCCTCCCCGGCGCGGCGCCGGGGGCGCCGCCCGGGGGGGCCACGGCGCGGATCGAAGAACACTCCGCGCGGAGCGCCCGACGTCTGTGCTCACGCCGCTCTTCTGACTCCGAGGATCGGGATGGGGATAGCGAGGGGGACGAGGGCTCGGTCCGACCTCCCCGTCGCTCGGACGTCCATCCCCTGTGCCTTTCTTCGGTCTCGTGCGTGGCTTCTTCGCAGGATGCTCCAGGATGCTCCTTAATACTCCCCGCCGAGAAAAAACACACACGTCCGAGCGATACCAAGCGGATCGCAGCAAACTCCGCGCGGAGCGCCCGACGTCTGTGCTCACGCCGCTATTCTGACTTCGAGGCGAGGATCGGGATATGGGGATAGCGAGGGGGATACGAGGGCTCGGTCCGACCTCCTCGTCGCTCGGACGTCCATTCCCTGTGCCTTTTCTCGGTGTCGTGCGTGGCTTTTTTTTCGCAGGAGGCTCCAGGATGATCCTTACGAATCCCCGCCGCGAAAAAAAAGCACACGTCCGAGCGATGCCAAGCTTAAGTCGGGCCTGCCCCCCTACAGGGGGATTTTCGACGAAAAAATAAAATACCTCAAAAATAATTTAAAAAAACATTCCAGACATAGTCTGTGGACTAACTATTGTTTGAACATGTTTTTGTCATTTTTGGTGTGTTTTTATTTTTCGTTGAAAACCCCCCTGCAGGGGGACAGGCCCGACTTGATACCAAACGAGCGTGCGGCGCTCCTCCTCCTTGGCGGCCGTGCGCTCGGCGCGCTCCTCCGGCACCGCGGCCGGTGGCGGTGCGGCCCGCTGGGGCTCGCCGGCGCACTCGGAGCTGGAGCTCCCGCCTCGGGGGGAGGAGGAGGAGGAGGAGGAGGAGGAGGAGGAGGAGGAGGAGGAGGAGGAGGAGGAGGAGGAGGAGGAGGAGGAGGAGGAGGAGGAGGGGGAGGAGGGGAGGAGGGAGGAGGGGAGAGGGGGGGAGGACAAGCTAGGTGCGCGCGCGTCATATCTGACGTCCTACCCCTCCCTCCCATCCCTTACCATGGCGCTGATTTTCTCTATCCGCGGACTAGTGGATGGTGGTGCGCGTGCGTGCGTGCGTGCGTGTGTGCGTGGTTGTGGTGTGGTGTGGTGGTGGTGGTGGTGGTGGTGGTGGTGGTGGTGGTGGTGGTGGTGGTGGTGTGTGTGTGTGTGTGCGTGTGTGCGCGTGTGCTGTGGCATGGCACGGGAAATGAAGCCAGCGCTGCAGCGGGAGCACGAGTCGAAACGGGCGGAAGCGCGGAAATGAAGCCAGCGCTGCAGCGGGAGCACGATTCGGAACGAGCGGAAGCACGGAAATGAGGCCAGCGCTGCAGCGGGAGCACGATTCGGAACAAGCGGGGCCCGAAAATGAGGCCGGCGCCTCGGCGAGAGCAGCATTTTGAAAAAAAAAACGAAAACCCGTTTCCTGGGAATCCTGTGTGTAAAAAACAATACGCGGGGGGGTGTCGGATATCTTCGGGACGCCATCAAGTGAAGTGGGAGAGTATTTTCATATTGTGCAAATGTGGAGGAGGAAGAGGAGGAGGAGGAGAAGGAAAAGGAGGAGGAGGAGGAGGAGGAGGAGGAGGAGGAGGAGGAGGAGGAGGAGGGGGCGGGCCACGCTGCCACCCTCGGCGGCAGCCCGTGGGAGCCTCCCGTGCCCTCTTCTCGGAGCTCGTGCGGATCGACGCCAGTCGACGCGAGTCGGCGCTGATCGGCGCGGGATGGGCGCCGAATGGGCGCCGAAGCGGCGCCGTCTCGTCGACGCCCAGGCGCCAAACTCGAGGCTGAAGGCGCCAAGCGTCAGAGGGTGCGCCAGGGTCCCAATGATTTGCTGCCAAAGCCCACCCGCGGAATGAGGGCGCGCGGCGAGGATGGGCCGTGGAAGGCCACGTCGACGCTTGGCGAGCGGGGCGCGGCAGGCGAGGGCGGCCGAGGGCGGGCCGAAGGGGAAGGATGCAGAGGGCAACCTCGGAACGCTTCGGGAGCGGCCAAGAGGGGGGTGTCCAATACGGGGGGGTGCAAATCATGACTGGCGGCACGTGCGCGGCCCAGCGGCGGGGCCAGGGACCCAATGAAATAAGAAGAGGCGCCATGAAATCTGGGGAAATATCATGGCCCACGCCATGATATTCACCCCCCCTCAGTCATCACCCCCCTCTTTTCCGCCCCCGAACGCTGCTCGGGACAACGCACACACCTGGGTCTGCGGAAGCCCCTTGGACAAGCACGGCCATAGCCGCTGCGGCAGGTCCCCAAACTGGAGGCCTCGCCGCATCGGTGATGCATCGGCGACGCCAGCATGGGGTACATCGAGATCATTTTTTTATTCCAGCCGGTAACGCTCGTTACCCGGGGGGGGGGGGGGTCGTGCCCCCCGGGTAACGGTAACGCTTGGGCTGGGCGGGGTATGGCGAAGCAGGGGCGCTCTGCGATCGCCATAGTATGCGCGCGAGCAGCACTCTCTGCCTGAGAGCACCACAGTGGCTTGCGATTCGAGTACAAGCGCAAAGCCCGCCGCGTGGTCCCGGCACCACGCCCGCGCCCGCGCGCGCGACGACGATGATCGACGAGCGACGAGCGACGAGGTCGACGACGACGACGACGACGTTTGCCGCCTGTTTCGGCCTCCGGAGGCCGTTTTCGGGCGCCGTCGACGACGACGACGACGACGACGACGACGACGACGACGACGACGACGACGACGACGACGACGACGACGATTCGAGTACAAGCGCAAAGCCCGCAAGCACCAGCATCGCGCATGCGAGCGCCGCAATGGCCTGCGAGCGCCCACAGTGCGCCTGCGACCACCACACCACAGTGCGCATGCCTTCGGGCACCAGCATGTTGGAGGGGAAGACCGAGACCCCCCCCGCGTACGAGCGTTACCGTTACGGGGGGGGGGGGGGGGGGAGGCCCGGGTAACGAGCGTTACCCCCCAGAGGATAAAAAAACAATCTCATCGGGCTCCACATCGCGCCACATCGCCGATGCGTCGGCGATGCGGCGCGATCTTCCGACCCCAACTGCTCGGAACACATCTGGAAGGCCTACGACAGGTTCCTGCCGTGCCGCCTTCAACGTCGGCCTCTGACACCGCGGGGACCTTACAACCTTGCACGATCGACCGTGTCCGAGGCGTCAGATCTTTCCACACCGACCGATTCTGGGCCGGCGGCGGAATTCAACGCTGCACGCCGGCGGCCGGGTCGCCGCCGATCGACGCGGCGCGAGCCTGCCGTAGACAAGCCTGGGCCACTGGCCATCGCTCGGACGTCCATTCCCTCTGTTTTTTGTTCGGTTTCGTGTGTGGCTTTTTTCGCCACATGATCAAGGATGCTCCTCGATGGTCCTCGCCGAAGGAAACATGCACACGTCCGAGCGATGCCAAGGCCAGCGGAAGGCAGACAAAAAGGTGCCTCGGCCCCGCGTGGCTTCAAAAACCCGGGGCAGCCACTAGTGGGGGCTGGCTGGCCCCCGTCGGCGCCGACCCCATGGCGTGAGCCGCGCCGCGACCGCTGCTCCCCGGACATCTCCCCGTTCTCTCATTAGGGATAACAACTATGGGCGGTCTGGTCGATTAGTGACGGAACCCCCAGCTGGGCATTCGGGGTCATTCGGAGGCGGACAGAACCCCCAGCAGTGACACGTCGATTAGTTAGGTGTCCGTTTTCGGTTCTCGAGAGGGCGCCGCGGCCGTTATTTGCCAGGCTTGCGCCCGCCAGGTTTGGGCCTCAGGTCGTTTTCACTAAACCACGTTTTACTAAAAGGGGGTCTGTCATCCCCGAGGTGTATCCGCAGAAATGGCCCCTCTCCCTGATGTTCTTAGCCCTCCGAACTCAGGTCCCCTCCCAAAGGGTCAGGGGGCCCTCTTTTGGTGAATCAAAGTGGCGCCTGAAGGGGGGAAGTCGAGGGGGGCCCTTCTGGCATCCGCGCTCTGACCAATATGTCGAGGCGAACCCGGCCATGGCGACGAGGACCGCCCACAGAGGCCTACAGGGGGCGAGAACGAGCCAGGGCTAGGGCAGATCCGCGTCGTGTCGACCCCGCCGCTGGTTCCTGACAGCGCGGGGATCGTTCAGCCTTGAGCGATCTGCCTTTTTGGGCGGCGCGCAGAGGGGGGTTGGGGGAGGAGGGAAGGCTTCTTAGGAGGCTGCTTCTTAGAAGGCGCGGGCCTTACATCTACAGACAAGGCCCGCGCCTTCTGAGAAGCAGGGGTGCTTCTAAGGAGCCTTCCCCCCTCGCCCCAACCCCCCCTCCGTGCGTGGCCGACTTGGACGATCGGCCGCTTCCGACACGTCAGATCGCTCAACATCGACCGATTCTGGGTCGCTGGCGGCGATCGACGCTGAACGCCCGCGGCGGGGTCGCCGCCAGTCGACACGACGCGCACCTGCCGTAGCCCGTGGCGGCACCGGCGCACCTCTCACGTAGCCTCGCCGCTTTCAGGGAAGCGCCGTGGCCGAAACGGAGCCCGAACGTCTGCCCGAGGGTGCCCGACACGGGCGCCCGAAATTTGGCGACCGCGCCCGAATGTACAATCTACGCGTGTAGAAAGGATGCGCGATAAGGATGCGAGGGCCTTGGACGCCCACCTCGAAGCGTTTCGAGCGGGGCGCGGCGCGGCCAACGAAAGTGTTCAAGGATGAACCGAGGAGGCAAGGATGCAAGGGTACCCTGGGGAAGGTTGCCCGTCCTTACTCTGCGGGTTGACTATGACCGAAATGTTCGGTCAGAGTCCAAGGCGGCTTACAATTGCGATCACAGCTTCGGTCACACGACATGCTCTGTCACAACTTCGGGAACGTTTTTCCGGTCACCGATGTTTCTCCAGTCACATACCTGTTCGGCTGATGGGGTTAGGTCGGGCATGCCCCCCTACAGGCGGATTTGGACGAAACAAATGTCCCAAACATGTCCCCAAAATATCCCCAAAAGTTGAGAAAAATAGTCAAAGAACCCCAGCCTACTTCTTGACCATTCTTGAAAAAGCCCTCCTGCAGATCGACGTGCCCGATATCATGCTAGGGGCGGGGGCGCCGTGACACCTTCCTCCTCCGAGCCTCGGTCGCCCCGGTCGGCGGGCATCCACTCCAGGGGCCGCTTGTCCACCAGGTCCGGCCGCTTCGAGGCGCCCGCCGCGACCGGCCCAGGCGCCTGCGCCCCCGCGCCGCGCGCCGCGGCCTCGCTCTGGAGCGCCGCGGAGGTGCCCACGGTGGAGGGCCGGGTGCCGCTCTAGGAGCGTCCCTGGCGCCAGGGGCCCCCAGCGATCTCCAGGGAGGCCCGAGAGGGCCCAGAACGAAATCGACGAGTCGGATCGGCAATCGAAGTGGATCGGATCGGAGGAGATCGGCAGCCGCGTCGGGGGAAGTCGGATCGGCGGAAACCGGCAGGCTGGTAGGCCTCCATTGAGGAATCGGAGCCCAGATCGGAATCCGAAGTCGAATCGACTCGGGATCGGAAGCCATCGGAGTCGAATCGAATCCAATCGGAGGAATCGAAGCGAGCCCCGCCCAGGGGGGCCCCCGGGAGCCCCCGAAGGCAGCGAGGCGCGGGAGGGTCACCCCCAAAGGGCCAGGGACACCGTCTTGAGCAGCCCCCGACGACGGGGTGGCGTACATGAGGCCGCCCGAGGGCGTGAGGGCGCTGCCGATGATCACCGCGCTGCCGCTCTTGTTGGCCATCAGCATGCCCCCGAAGCCAAGCTGGGGTGCGCCTGTCGGGTCTGCGAACGCCATAGGCGGGAGGAGGAGGAGCAGCGGAGCGGGAGCTGCTCCTCCTCCTCCATCCTACCCCTCCCCCTTTCCCCCTCCTCCT